AGTACATAAAACGTGATAGTAGTTTAATCAACTCAAACAATTAAATTTACGATTTACTTCATACTTATTAGGGTAATAGTTGCGTAATCCTTGAATCTTAGGAGGAGGATGTGACCTACTCTCCATTAAACGTAGGAGTATATATATACATTTGATGGCTTAGTTCTTTAATTGTTTTAGAGCTTGAAAATAAATGCAAAATCTTAACTAATAATAAAGGAAGTGTTGACTAAAATAGATTCAACGATAAAATTGGCTACCAGAAATCGTAGTTTGCGTTACAAAAATGTATACTTATATACATACATACATATATATATATATATATATATATATATATATATATACAAACCATAAAATGAAACATATTTATATACCTGATCTGAATTACATCATTTGTTCGAATGTTTCAAGTTAGTGCATAGTATATAATTCCGCGCGTGCTTAGCACATTAATGTTACGATAAAATATTTTCCATTAAGAAAATCCAATAACTCTATAAGCTGTACTACTATACTTTAATCTTTTGATATAAGGCTAAAGTTGTAAGTACCATAAAATGAACCATACCACAATAATAGTGGTTGTAACAAATTAACGAGCTTAGCAAACTAATTCTAATATAAATTAACTAAATTTTAATATAACTAATAAGCACTACAAAATTTATATCGCGCCCTTAGTATATGTTTTCAAATGATGTAAGTAATATTTTTTAATTTCACGATGGTGCAGTTTATGTTTTTGCCAGAAAATCCGACTTGCTAATTTTATATTTTTTCAACGTTTGTTAGTATTTTTCAAGTCATTCAATTGTTTGAGACCAAAATTGCAAATAGTGTATATTAAATGTGTGTACAAAATTTGAAAGCTAACAGCTCGATAGGAACTCGCGTTGATTAGTTTTGCGCGAAGATCGCCCAAGCCGTTTCTTTATAATTAGTAGAAAGTGCATTTTTTGTCCACGGTTTAGGCAAAAATCTTGAACAAAATTTAAAATTTGTTTGAATGATATGATTTATGAATCTTGCTAATTAGTTTTTGGATTAGGTCAGATCAACCGGGATGATTAAATATTAAAGCAAATTTTATTTTTGATAACATGGTATATTGCAATAGTGTAAATTAATGATATTAATTAACACATTTAGTTTGACATCAAAGATTAATGGGTGGTCTTTTGTATACTCCAATATTACTAATCAGTCATAAACTGTAATCACACAGTCTTGAGTTCAAATCCACGTTTTGCACAACTAGGTACCAGCAGAAGTGATGTCCGTTTTTTTTTGAAAATATAGACCAAAAATGTATTTGCATGTAAAAAAGTTTTTTTTGGCATTGTTGCAATAAGTTAAAATATATCATTACTATTAGAAGGGACAAGTACTGGATTGCTTCAAAGTATGTATAAAATTATGGTGACCATATTTTTTAAGGTCAAAACTGGGACGGAAAACCGTGGGCGATGTCTTTGAACTGAATAATTTAAATATTATTTAAAATAACAAACAAAAGATCTAAATCCGGGAAAATATTGCTTTTAGAAAAATCCGGGACACAAGGTGGAATTCGGGTCTGTTCTGGCCACACCTAGACGTATGGTCATCTTAAATATATAGGCCAACCAATTTATAAAAGGCTTTGCCGAAAAACAATAATAAAACTTTTACATAGCAATATTTTAACTATTTTATTATTAGCTTTTATATCCTGTAATTTTGTGAGATAATATTATTTCAAGAACTCAACGATTTCACGTAGCGCGTAATAAAACTTACTTACTCATAGCCTTTATAACAAGTAAACAGAAGTTTTTAAAATTGTGAATTATGGATACTTCAGTAGATTGAAGTCGTAAATTCCTATCAAAATATTTACATCAACATAGTAGTAAATATATAATACATTGCGTAGTAGGATTTGGCCGCAGTGTACGCGTTCGGCGAGTACTTACAAAAGTGTGGCAAATAAAAGAGCTTAGCACAAAATTTTCACAGGATTAATCCGACATGTCATAAGGCTTATACGCGATTATTTGTATACGCTTAGCGAGCGTTATATTTAATTGCCCCGACAACCCAGTTCAACATGAACACCTAATGCGAATGATAAATGATTGATTATAATAAACCGAGTGAAAATTCGTGAGCAGTTTATTAATTTTCTATGATATTTTCACTATTAGTGTTAAAAGATCTTTCCATTTTTTACTCGAGAGGAGCCGAAGACTATTAATAACATTCTCTTACACAAAACAATTGAAATAAGTAGTATTCAAAAAATTAAAACACCGACTTTGGAAGCCCATTATTTGTTAAATGAAGTTGAAGAATTTAAGCATACATCATCATATTAGCAATATTCGAATAGCAAGGTGACCATATTGTTTTAGGTCAAAACCGGGACGATTATCTTTGGTTATGCTAATCTGGGACAGAGGGGGGGAGGCTGTTTTTAATGCTAAATAACTTGAAAACATACTATTTAAGGATTCCATAAAATCATGTTTTTAAATAAATATTTTTTTTTTTAAACTAAGATTACCGACTTTTAAAGAACTTCATTATTCGATCATGTTATACAATATCTTATATTTTTTTGCTTAGACATAAATCTTTAATTTTCTTCATAATTAAGCTGTTAATACTTAGCGCTTGTACCATCCAGTCAAAAAGTTCCTTTGCATATGTTTTGCTATTTTTTATAAAATTCAAAATAAAGCCCCAAAATTTTTAAAGTGAGAGGCTATTTTAACCTGCCTTCGAAATTTCGAATTCGGCTACGTGTTGTTTGATATAAAAATACTTCTTTGCATATATCATTTGCAAATTTCATGGATGATTGTAATTTTATTATCAAGTAATTGCGAAATTTCAATTTTAATCTTTTTTATTTTGAAAACCCGGGACAAAAGTTTTAAATCCGTGACACTAGGTTGAAATCCGGGACTGTCCTGGCCAAATCGGGACGTATGGTCACCTTAAAATAGGCAATGCTCTATTCAACATAACATTCCAAATTTCAGTTTTTTTTAATAAATTTTTATTGAAAACAAATGAAAATTCTTGTGCCAGGGACTCGAACCAAGTATTCTTGGCGCGTGAGTCAGGCATGTTACTGATTGAGCTATTCCCGCCACTATTTCAGATAAAAACGCAGTACAATTACCACATCTAATTGAATGGTTTTCAATACTATAAAAACTATTAATTAATAAAACGCAATTTAAATTGTAATTACGATTTTGATACTTCTTTGTTGGAGTTTTAAACATGATTTATTTTGCTTATTTGTTATTTCAAATTATTTATAGTATTATTGAAGAATAAACTTCATTAAATGTTTCTATCTACTTTTTCTAGTTTTTTCTGCAGGTCTAAATACTGATCTGATAATTCAATAAGGAAATGAGTTATATTTCGAAATGCATCATATTAATTTCAAATATAGTTCTCCTATATATAGTATAATGGTGAGTCCGATATGATGATTGAAAAGTTTTGATTAGAGGTATCATTTTTTGTAAAGAATTTTAGATTTGCAAAAGATGGCGCAGTTATTTTGTGGGTTAGCATTTGTAAGGAATCCTTAATAATAAATATAAATATTTGACCTGAACTCTAACCGTGACTGGAAGGTACTAAATATTATCATTTACAAATGTAGTTTTATCATTTGTTTGTCGGCTTCCACCGAAGTAAGACATTATGTAACATCAGTGGCAGAATTTTGAAGGACAGTGTATCTCGTGTCACTTTGGGTACATAATGAAGAACATTTTAGACTGAACCAAATGGTGAAATTGTTAATTAATTGTAAAACAGATTGTCAAAATTTAATGTGCAATGAAATATTGAACATTTTCGTGAAATTATGCAGTGAACTCAGTGTATATCGTGTAATCTCAAAGGTACTTCGACTGCATGATGACATCAAAATGAAAGGAACTGGCGTCCATGTATATCTGTTCATGTGCATGGACTCATGTAAGCAATAAAAATTTAAGAAAAATCCTATCCAAATTTTCTGATGGTTTCATAATAACATTTTGGCGTCTGAGGTAATTGTTAAGATTTTGCGCATTAGATGCAAACAACGAGGATAATTTTGCTTTGTGCGCTGTAGACGTAACAAATTTTTACGATGCGATTTGTACTAACTCTGAGTCTCTGTTAGCGCGGTTCCCATACTGCACTATGTAAGATTCCGTAGAACGCACTACGAATTAGCCTGAATTGTATGTTAAATACGAGTTTTTTATAGCACGGTCACCATACTGCACGGTACACACTTGCCGCGTTAAGCGAGGGTTTACTGTATACAGTCAACCTTCCGTTAACATGGTAATCTGGAAACGCGGTTTCCATGCTACGCGGAGCTGAAACTGTGACAGCCCTGCGATAACACGGTACTCCTCTAAAACGGTTTTTGTTCAATAACCCATAAGTTTCTTACGCGCAACCTATGAATGACCCACTAATTTTAATGTAATTTTTGTTATAGACTTTTTTGGCTTTTACGGTTTGTTTATAAACACATACGATATAGATAGTGTCATTTACAGGTCGCTAGTCTTTCAAAAAAAAAAAAAATCTGCTTATTGACAGAAAACAGATTGTATCATAACTTTACATCAATTCTTCAATTCAATAAAAAAAATTGCAATTTATCCTATCTTTTTGGTCTCCATATAAGGCAGTGCGATATGTGACTACTAATTCTTATAGTACGGTTTCCATACAACGTGATGGCCGGTTTTCCTAGAACGCACTTCGAATGAGTGTGGGTTGTACGTTGAATCCATGTTTCTCATAGCACGATTTCCATATAGCACGGTACCGCGTTATCGGAGGGTTGACTTTATACATATGCATGAATTTACCACAAGTAATTTTTGTTGAATGCACCCTTTCAAATTATATGTTTCAACAAAATCTTTTTGTTTCTTTAACAAACTGTTGATTATTTTATATTTCCAGAGTTCAACTATTTATATTTACGATTTGTTCATCGCTATAAATTTTTCTAAAAAGAAGATAATTTGTAATGGACATTCAACATGTTCGTATAATACATTCATTTCATATTTTCATACATATATTATTTAAAAATATTAATTGTAATAATAATCTTACCTAATGGTAAGTCCACTAGTTTCAAATGACTCAACCGAATGTTGGTCAACAGATGCATATTCTGCAAAACTGGTCTGATATCATCCATGTCCAGATGGTTTCCACTCACGTCAAAACTTTGCAAAGTTGCGATCACGGGTTCCATAACTGGCAGTTCTAGTACGTCAAGTTGATTCCCTGATAGGTTAAGTTCTCTTATAGAGTTCAACCCATCAAATGCTTTCGGGGCGATTTTTACCAATCGATTATTCGCCAAATGAAGTGTCGATAGTTGAGCTTGTTGTTTAAATAATCCGGGTAACAACACAGCTAGGCGATTACCGTCCAAGTACATGTGCTTCAGTTTCTTCAGTTGAGAAAAATCTTCTTTGGGGAGATAGTTGATCGAGTTCTCGCCGAAATCCAACTCACGAAGTTGCGGTAATAAGTGATATAGTTGGGTGTTGATAATGCGCAGGTCACAGCCGCGGCAACGCAATGTTCTCAACTCCTGAAAGTAATTGGTTCAATTTGCGCATTAAAAAATCATCATTGATAATAAATTGAGATTAAGAAATTTAATGACTATCGAAATTTAACTTTTCATGCCTCATTAATATTGTAAGGAATAATACTATATCAAATTGTATACTTAATTATTTTCATATGCAAAAGATATGTGTACTTTTATTTGCGGAACCGTCTTTATTATTTTGAAGTCCATTTTTTAACTTCCCAGTAGGGTAGTTACAGTAATGGCCGGAAAATCAAAAATGAAAATTTTTGCATATCTTTACGGTTGAATGTTTCTGAACATTTTGGCATACCTCAGAAAAAGTGGATGTGTGTCTGTGTGTGAGTGTTTGTGTGTGTGTTTTGTATGTCCGCATTTTTCGTCCACGTTTTCAGGCGTACGAATCAACCGATTTGAATGGTTCAAAATTTTATTGATAGGGAGATGTGCTGATTAGTTTTTGGCAAAGGCAGGTCCAGCCGTTACGGAGATACGGAGCAAAAAGCGCAAAATATAAAAATCGAGTTTTTGAGAGAACGGAGTATCAGATTTGAATGATCCAAAAAACATTCAATTCATAATGATGAGGAGAAGCGATGATTAGTTCTGCAAAGACAAGTCCAGCTGTTTCGAAGATACGGAGCTAAATGTACAAAAAATTGCATTTTTTGAGAGAACTAAAAATCCGATTTGAATGATTCAAAAAACTTTCTGCTTGTGTTGGCAAAACAATTGCTTTTGAGAAAAAGTTTTTTCTTTCAAAAAATTTTTTTTTTGAATATCGAAAATAATTCAGATTTTAATTTTAATTCTTTCTAAGGTTCTAAAGCACACTAATATACTTTAGTTTATATAATTCTTATAAATATTAGACAATTTTACAGTATTTATAATAATCTATTCAAAAACATTTAATATTTCTCGAATGCATTACGGTACGCGAAATTCCAGCAATTTGCCTTAAGGCATGATGCCACACACCACTAGTTAAATTTTATTCGAGAACACACTTGATACGAAATTTATACAATGTAGCCAATGTTTCTAACTTTCCGATTCTGAATCATTTGATGCCTATATGTGCCGATTTTTTATCTTTTTTCAAAGTTTTTCTCAAAAACGGCTGAACTAATTTTAAAATTTTGAAAACCATTTGATAAACATTAGGACTAGCGAAGGACTAGTTTATTAGTTTCAAAATTTTCATAAAAGTGCAAAATTTAACGTTTGTACAAAAAAATTTCAACTGATTTTGAAAATTTAAAAACCATTTAAAAGATCTTTGTAATTAATTGTTAGAAAAAGTTTTTTGACGATTTATACTCATTGTCAGAAACATACTTACGTCCCTATTTCCACGTGAAAACAGATATTCCTAATGCTTGATATCAGGTTGTGAATACCGCATCTCTGTACTATGAATACCTTCGATAAATAAATATGGACTTAGAAAAAGGATCTTTGTGAAATAATATAACTTCGTTAAAATGCCTTTAAACCTCTTACTTTTTCTATTAATATTCTTCTTCCTGTCACAATAATAATGATGCAGTAGAAAATCTTGCAATAAGAAAATCACAATATAATTAAATTTGAAATCCTCGTGAAATAAAGTTTTTGGATATAATCCGCCATATCGCATTATGAATGCATTTATTTTCAGTTGCATTTATAAGCTATAAAAAGATATTCATGATGATAATAGAGTTTCTGCAGATTTATAGATTATAATAAAACTTTATATGCCATGAATTTGAATGACGTTATTTAAATTTCATTAATCATTTATTATTTCTGGAATTCCGCGTAGACTTCCTGTATTTCGTAATCAATTCTTTTGTATTTGTGATTGCGTTCTATTTTCTTCATTGTGAATTTAGACATTCAAGAGTTAAGTTACTTTTAGAGTTCCGTTTTCTAAGGAGTTTGTCAATGCGATTAAATAGTCAATATGTAGGTGCCATTAATACTTAAATTCAATATAATCACGTTTGAACCGGAGTTTATTGCAATATATGCAAAACGTTTTAAAACCTGGTTATATTTTAGTTAGCCAGTTGGTTGTATTTTTGCAAAAACAGAGTAAAGTTTTATGATTTAAGTAATGAGCTGTACTTTTAGGATTTATTAAAATATGTTACTAATATACAGTAGAACCTATCAAATTCGAAGTCGAATCCGTTAGGATATGACTCCGCTTCAGAGAAGAGTTATATCCGCTTAACGACTCCGATGTACTTGTATTTTATGGAAAATTCGAAATGGTATTATTTCAGGTCTTCTTATACCTAGCAAGTCATAAAATTGCTTCTTCTGATCAGAATCTCCTATGTAGTGGTGAAAAATCACAAGTAAATATCTGTACGTGTTAACAGATACAGAGAATTTTATTCGTTGAAGACAGTAAATTCTTTTTGGAATATTAAAATTTTTTTTTTTAAATATTGAAAAACGATTTACTAATGCATTGCAAAGCCAAGAATGCAATTTTATTAGTTGCCAATCTGAACGAATTGATCTTGAAAAGTTTTTCTCTAGAAATTCTTAAATATTATCTCCACATATAAACTGATACACTTCTGCGAATATTCTTGGATTCGAAAATTTTCATATATAGAACAAAATTATTATATGCAGTATAATAAGTAATATAGGGGAAAGTCCCGTAACGCCGGACGGCACCAAGCACCGGACACTGTATTTAAAACGCATTATTTAATCGAGTATAAATCTTCTCATTTCAAAATACAAGTGAAGGGGGCATGAGGGGCACACAGGTACAGGATCACGCGCCAAGCCTCGCCTGTGACGTACACGGCCACGGCGAGAGCAACCCTTTCCTGTTTTAAGCGCAAAATCACGGCGTCACCTAAATATCAATGGAAGTAATTCTAGCATATTTATACATTTCCATTTGAGTGCTATGCAAAGATAAAAGTTATACTTGATTATTATCCGTAAAATGGTAGAATACTATTAGATCTTTTAACTAATTTTAGTAGGTGCCACCAAATGAACGAAAATGTCTGTCCCTTAAAACCGGACACTAAGTCGTCTCTTAGTTCCGGACAGTAAACATATTAATATTTCTTGTGAGAATTTACGTAATTTATTCCAGTTATTTAATTTTGTTCTGTATGAGTGCTAACGGTCACTACATACCCCCCATTTTTCGTATTTCCTAGTCAAAGAATGAAAAGCTTATGGTGAATGCACCAGTGTGGCCCAGCCAAAAGGGTGGATGAATAGTTATTTTTTTGGCAATATCTAAGAATATTCGTTAAAGACACATGTGCAGACATTCCAGAGTATGGAAATGGCTACATATGTGACCAATGCAGGTTATTTTGAAATGTCCGGTACTAGATGCCACTGTTTAAAATCATATTTTTTGATACCAAAGTTTGATATTAATTATTTTTAGCAAAGATTGCGGTTTTGTTAATTTAGTTTTATTTCTAACTTTGTTATCTAACATAAATTATAATTTAATAAACACATCGTAAAATATTTTTTGATTTATTTATAAAATAACCTTAGGCGTCGGCCACTAGGGGACTCCCTCCTAAGTATAATAAGACACATATAATAATGTGACAAATTGTTGAAGCTGGATGGATATTTAGCATGTTCTTAAAAGTGGTAAATATGTTGAGATTCTTGTTGCAGTATAAATTCTTATATATCCGTTGCAAAAAAAATTTTATGATCTTAAATCTGAAAAATAAAAAAATAAAACCACAGTGTCAAAAAAGTAATAGTACGTCAAAAGTATAAAAATAATCGTGATAATAAAGAACTTACAATAGAATTGTTAGAATAATTTTAAATATAAAAATTTAGGAAATGGGAAAAAGGGGAAAAATCAGAACTGTCGATAGAAAAGTTATATCATATATTATTTATAGGCAGTTCACCAGCATTCAAAATATTGTTTGAGGCCGATATTGGCATCATATTGGTATATTCTAATATTAGTCTGATACCGATAGTGGTATATTCGAATCGTAGCTTCTAAAAATCGTTTGTTTGATGCAGAAAATGTGGATTTGACTAATGTTTAAGTGAAAATGGATATTACTACTGCTTGATAACTTTGCAGTTGCAAGTCGAGGCACTACCCCTAAGCTGCTACACATTCGATACTTTAATGCTAATGCTTTAATGCTTAAGAAAAATAGTTGTTCTCTTTATATATGTAGTTTGTTTTTCAAACCGGTATACCTTGATGAATTGTTTTCGTGTTTGCGGAAAACACACACACTGTATATATATATATATATATATATATATATATATATATAATCGTATATATTCGAAAGGGAAGAATTCTTTGAAATCAAAACAATGAAAATGTGCCCATTCAGTGTGCACAAAGGCAAGATAATAAATTTTTCTCTCATCTCAACGGTCAAAGGAATAAACTAGGTTAGTTGGATCATGGTAACAAGATAGTGAGCTCGTTAGAACATCTTGCGGCTACGTTAATTTCTTATTTAAGCGGAAAACTACATTTGTATTATGCGAATGCTGCTTGTTATTTCAGCTTTGTTTCATTTCATTAAATAATATGTCGATGTAGAAATAAAAAATAGTTACGATGCTCTGACGTATAATTGTTTAAAGGGTTTAACGTGTTAAGTTGATGTGTGTGTGTAAATATGATGTAATCCTATTTGAAATTATTTGGAAACCAATGAGATTTATTGTACCTACAATGTAATTAATTATATGAATATATTATGGAGTATAATTTTTTATTTTTATTATTTATCATAAGCAGCAATCAGAACGAGAAATATTCTATGAGCTATGGTTAATAATTTGTAAGTAAAATTAATAAAAGGTGAAATTGTCTAATTTGTATAGTTACACATTTTTAAACAATATTTAAAAGTAGAGAGCTAAATATGTATTACTAGCTATTACATTGATTTCTACAACGTTGCCATCAAAAGCTGAACGGAAATGTTTGGAAATTCATAACAAGAGTATTTTGTTTTGTTGTTAGTTTTTTGGGTTTTGAGCTCTGTTGTTTAGTTTACGAGACATTCATATAATTTTTAAGTATACGTTATTTAATTGTTTTATAAAATGTATTGTTATTTGTAATAGTTTTTTCATACCCTATATAAAAACTTACATTCGGGTAGGGTAAAAAGTACCAATTGAACCTTTACTATGGCAAAAGTAAATTAAAAAGTAAATTAAGTTTAAAAAGCATTTTTACAGCAGATAAATTAAATAAATAATTTTCTGCTGATGAATATTTCTGACGAAACACCAGATCTAGGTTATATACGGTGTTATCTTTGAACATCTGCCCATCAAATTTATATTTTGCATTGGTCGAAAAATGTAGCTATTAGTTTGTAAAATTCTTTTAAAATTAAAAATAAGCATTGGACCTATTTGCCCTGTCTGAGGGGTAAAGAAGAGCAGGTGATAGATTTGAATAAATAATCGGCAGATTAAAATAATAATTGAAATGCTATTTATATTTCTTGTGAAGTTGCAGAAATCGCGATAAGTGATGCACGATATTTAGATAATTATTTAAAGTAGCATAATCGAGAACTAATAGCTTAAATTATATATTTTAATAACTTGGTTCTCGGTATTTCGATAAAAAAATAATATTTTTACGTTAATTGAAAAATTATGTAATTTTTTACTCTTGATTGGTAATTAATAACTGAGTATGACGAAAAGAATGAATATATTTTATAATCTATTAATAATGTAATTGCGAATACTCATATTATAAAAAGTAAATCGAGGTACAAACTGAAATTATTTCAACACAGTCTTTTTATGCATTATACGTGTGTAATTGTTTATTATTCACTATATCATTCTGACATATCAATTAAATATGAATTGGAAATAAAGTGGATAAAATGCAGTTAGACATGAATATTTATTGAGCGGAATCTATGCGTTCGTAGTATATTCGAACTTGTATATTATTCATGCACATTTGGGCTCAAAAGCAAAATGGTTTTTAAATCATGAGGTTACTGCTGCTTTTATATTTTTCAACTCTGAATGAATATGTTTGAATTAAAAAAATGAGAAGACCAGCTAGAAAAAAATAACATGGGCATAGAAATAAAAAATATTATCATATTAGATTTAGTTTAGTCAGAGTTTGGTTTAGTCAGAAATAATCATCAGCAAAGATGAAAAAACTATTTATTGAATAATCTCTTGTGAAATAGCTTTTTTACTTTATTTACTTTTTTATTATTTACCAATCTGCCAGGGTAAAGGTTCAGTAGGTCCTTTTTACCCCATCCACATGTGAGTTTTTATTGAAATTATATAAAAACTAGTGGGGTGGGTGGCATCGTGCCTTAAGGCAAATTGCTGGAACTTCCCGTACCGTAACGAAATGTTCGAGGAATATTGAATGTTTTCAAATAGATTATTATAAATATCGTAACATTGTCTAATATTTATAAGAATTATATAAACTGAATTGCAGAGTTGAAATTATTTGTTTAAAGTATATTAGAACTATAGTCAGAATTAAAAATAAAATCTGAATTATTTTCGACATACAAAAAATTTTTAAAAAAAAAAAAAAATGGTACAAATTTTTTTTTTCCAAAATCAATTATTTTGTTAAGACAAGCAGAAAGTTCTTTGAATCAATTGAATCGGACGCTTAGTTCTCTCAAAAACTGCCATTTTTTGTACATTTAGCTCTGTATCTGCGTAATGGCTGGGCCTGCCTTTGCGAAAAACTAATAACCCCTTCTCCCAATCATTACTAATTGAATGTTTTTTTAGATCATTCAAATCGGATGCTCCGTTCTCTCAAAAACTCGATTTCTATTTTTTGCACTCTTTGCTCCTCATCTCCGTAACTGCTGGACCTGTCTTTGCCAAAAACTAATCAGCTCTTCTCCTTATTAATAGGAATCGAATGTTTTTTAAACCATTCAAATCGGTTGATCCGTACGCCCGAAAACGTGGGCGAAAATTTGTATCCATACATACATACACACACACATACACACACACATCCATTTTTTCTGAAGTATGCCAAAACGTTCAGAAACCTTCAAAACGTCGAGAAATGTAAAAATTTTCAATTCCGATTTTCGGCCCATTACAATAACTTACCCTACGGGAAGTTAAAAACTGTTGAATCTAACTTAAAATTGATACTACATTTTATAAAACAATTAAATAACGTATACTTAAAAATTATTAGGATTGCGTAAACTAAACAACAGTGCTCACATAAAAAAAACAACAAAAGAAAATACTTTTGCTATGGATTTTTAAACATGGCCGTTTATCTCTCGATAAGGACGTCGTAAGGATCAAGGTGATGGCTTGTTACACATTTTTTTCCTTCTACTTTCAAATATTGTTGTTAAAAAATTCCTAACTCTACTTGTTTCTTAGATATCGGTGGTAAAGTAGACGGTAAGTTACCTTATCGTACAGTTACCTTCTATGATATATAGAAAATTTAGATAAATTTCTTTAAATTTTGATTGTTTTTGAAATTTTTACACTAAAAACTCTTATTACAGTTATATCCTCATACTACATATTAACCCTTTCCACTCGCAAATCGCAAGATTTGTATGTATTTAGCGGCATGCGAGTGGAAAAGGTTAATAGAGATTTATTTATGAAATTATTTATTTACTTACTTATTTAAAACTATTAAAGCTAATTAGTCCAGTATCAGAAATCAAACTGTAGGTGTTTTTTTATCTTTTATAGATAGAACATTACGTTTATCAGGTTTTAATTCTTTTTCGTATTTTTGTTAAATACAGACTATTACATGAACTGAAATATATTTATTTTGAACTATCTTATATATGAAAGATAATTCAAAACGTCAGATTGTTTAGCAATATAAATAGACGTAGTTAGACCAAACCAAAAGATTGGTAATTTCATCTGCCTGAACGTTGGGTATCGTGTATAATCTGGGCGAAATGTGTAGACGGTTCTTACAATGCTAATATAAATACCAAAACACCTTCCTACCTGTATATCTTTAAAAGCGTCTGGTAGAAGTTCTTTCAATGGGTTTCCGCTCAAATCCAAAACTTTCAAGCCCCCCAGCATGTGAAATAGCCTCGGCACTAGTTCGGAGATTACGTTGCTCCTCAAAGAGAGCACTTTGAGTCCGGTCAGGTATCGAAAGGTACCACTGGACATTTTCTCTATCCGGTTGAAATCGAGGTGCAGCTCCTCGAGATCTGCCATGCCTCTGAAGTTATAGTCCAGAACCGTTGATATGTTGTTGTGCGTCAGATTCAGGAGCCGTAACGTCGGCACGCCCCAAAACGAATGACGACCGATTGCCGGAATGTTCGAATGCGATATGTGGACCTGCAAATTTAACAAACATATTTGTTAATACTTACATGTAGATTTAAATTTATATTGATATTTTTGGGACTTTTTAACTTCCCGCAGGAGAAGTTATGTTTTCATCAAAAAATCCAATTTGCTAACTTTATGTTTTCTTGACGTTTCAAGCCATTCTGAATAGAATGAGACGGAATTTGGAAAATTATGTGTGTGTGTATGTATGTGTGTGCGTATATGTGAACAGATTTTTTGCAGTAAATCGACGTTTTATCAAAACCGTCTGAACCGATTTCAGAAATTTAAAAGCCATTTGATGTATCTCGATGAGGATTATCGTTTCTCAGTTTTGTGCGACGATCTGCCGAGCCATTTCTTTGTAATTTGGAAAAAAAGTGTTAAACTTTTCGTCCACATTTAAGCTCATACTACCGAATCGATTTTAAAAAATCAAAAACTGTTCGAAAGATATTAGTTGAGAATGATACTAATTAGTTTTAGGTAAAAATCTACCAAGCCGTTTTCTTGTAATTAACTGTTGAAAAAATTTAAGCGGATTTTCATGGAATTTTTTTGGCGATATATATCATGGTCTTATAGAACTTACTGAAATATTACGGCCTTACGACAAGTAGTTTAATTTTAAAAATTTATTAAAATTTTAGAAAATGAGCAGTTTTTTTTGACGTTTGTTAAAGATAAAATTAAACGATTTACTTGGTATAACGATAGAGTACATGGTCTTAATGAACATACTAAACCATTAAATTCATACGGAAACTGGTTCAATTATAAAAACCATTAATTTGTGAAAATTTGCTTTCAGAAAATACTTTGAGTTAACGTGATCGTTCGTTCTCAATTATGTGCAATAAATCCACTCTGATTACTTTTATCACTCATAAATTAATTTATTTTCTATTGATTAAGTCGATTATTTACACATATTGGGAAGTTCATGTAACTTGCAAAGTTTCAATACCAACCAGTTTAATTTTGTTCTTTATGACAAATTTTCGTAAACCTAAAGCTGTATAAACAAATATTAGATGGAGTATATTAAAACCATATAAAAACTATACACAAATTTTTATAATGGAGAAAATAGTGTCTACATAGAAAATCTGTGTTATATAGGCTACAAGTGTCACATACAGACCGCATCTAGTGTGACTTTTGCTACAAAATTTTCAACTGTAGTAGTATTTTATTTTCTTGACTGAAAACACTGCTTTAATGAATTGTTCAAATAGTTTCTTTCTGGGAAAAATATTTCCGTAAATTTTGTAAAATTTTTGGAATTTTGAAAAACACTGATTCTGTTGTAAATTTATAACTTCCCATAGGGTAAGTTATAGAAATCGCAAAAAATTGAAAATAATTTTTTTATTATTTCTTCTCCATTCCAAAGCCTTCTGAACATTCTGACATACAGAAAAAAATTGATGTATATGTGTGGGTGTGGGTGTATGTATGTATGTGCGGATACTATTTTTTGTCCACGATTTTAAATACACGGATAAATCTATTTGAATGATTCAAAAAACATTCGATTTCTATTGATAAGGATACGTGCTGATTAGGTTTGGCAAAGACAGGTTCAGCCGTTTCCAAGATATGGGACAAAAGTGCCAAAAATGGTAATTCAGTTTTTGAGAGCGGAGCATCCGGTTTCATAATTTCATAATAATTTAAAAATCATTTTACTTACTCAAAAGAGTACATTTTTTTCAAAAATTTCAAAATTCTCAATTTTTTTAAGTATTCAAATATTTCTAGATTCTAAAAATTTTAAATTGCGGTATAGAAAGTTGCAGCAACTTCTCTTAAGGCACGATGTCATTCACTACTAGTTATTTAATTATATAATAAATATAAAGTAAATAAATAAATCATATATTAATAAAACAATGTTGATTAAATAGTCCATATTATTCATAAAATTGATATAACAATTAGTAATATTTAAAAGGTCACTGCCAGAAAATTAAAAGTTGTAATTGATATTAAAAAAGAAATATTAACTTGGGAAAGTTCTTGTTTTCGCTAGGTAATTTATTTAGGGTAGATTTACTAAATTAGTTTTTTTCCACTTCAAAATGTCATTCGGAATTATTTTACACCAATATTGATAAAATTATTTATGTGTTTCATTAAAGTCGTCAGGAAAAAAAGCTCACAGCACACAAGAAAAGTACCATCATAATTATTGAAAGTAATAAATAGACAAAAGATCAGAAATTGCCTGTAGTCATGAGTTAACCGAGTTTACGATATCCCTGATCTCGATAAGATAAGTAAAACTTTCCGCGGTATGTACCAATTATAAATTTTCTAAGTATTTGCAATTCTCTTTGGTCCGTCTAACGATCATATTGTCTAGTTAATTATGAGTATATAATGTTTGAAATCAAAAGATGGGGAAGGAAAGAGCATATTTGCATTGAAAAGATCTGATTATATAGAAAACTTAGTATAGCCCTCTAAGACCGCGTAATGTAAGAATATTTTGTTTACTCGACTGAAAGCTACTCAAGCGCAACTGTTGAGCAATTTAATGGAACTGTTCACAACAAACTTTCGCATATCTCCCCAGCGGTCTTAAAGCTATATTCATCTTGCAGGCGCTTCCTTCTTCAAAATTATATTGTCAACACAATGTACTAGAATTACTTATTTTGCTTTTCTATACGCTTTTGGTAATAAATGCGACGCGAGGAAAATAGTTTTTTCCAAAATGTCGCGTTAAAACTCTGCCGGAGACATAAATCATAATTACAAATTTACACATATTTTTATTAATATAATAAAAATTAAAATAATATCATAATTACCAAATATCTTAAATATAAAAATAACTAGTCGGCATGGCATCTTGCCTTAAGGCAAATTGCTGAAACTTTCCGTACCAAACTTTTTTTTTTAAACTTTGAAAAAATTAGTTTTTTGAGAAATTTAAAATTTTTGAAATGAATTGAATTTTTCGAAATTTTTGTTTTTTTATTATTTTAAAATATTTTGGCAAATTTTGAACTTTTTTCAAGCATTCGCACTGCTTTAGCTGCATAAAGACGAAATATCGAAGCGCGTAAGCGCTGCGTCTCCGACTAACAGACAAACGATGTTACGGAATCCATAGAAATGTAAATAAAATTGACGTACTAGTTGAATAATGTTACTATTATTTCGTAAAATCTCATTAAAATTAAAAGTAAGGCATTGGACCAGTTGGTTCCTTGGTTGTCCATTTTACCCCGCTTATGGGGGTAAAAGAAACTGGTGACAAATTTTTGAAAAAACAGCAAAAAACCCATATTTACAATGATGAATTAGCTGGGGTTTTACTGAACATAGTCAGATTGTTGTGTGTTTGATATGTGATATTTGTTTTGATATAATTCGTATAGTTTTTACAATATAATGGAAATCAAAATGAAATTGGACTTTTGAGCTCTGCCCTACCCTATATAATTTTTAAATTTTTAGTTTTTTTATGTTTATACTTCTACATGTTCTATGAGTTGTATTGATCACTGCTAATTACTAACAATTGCAAGAATGACGTTATTAGTAGGCAATTCATTAATTTTCCTTACTATAAGAGATATAGTTTAGTTTTATATTGATCGATATTAGAAGACAAACCTACGGTCGCCTCTGCAGAAATTGCGATAATGCAGAAATGCAAGGTAAAGACTATTTCACATGGAAACATGTTGATATTTATATTGTTGCTTGACATCAGACTGTTTGAAGAAGGATTAAAATAAAAGAACCAAAAAATCATGATTCAAGTCAAATTATTGATAATATAACATATGAATGAATTATATCGATAATTTTTCACATTAATTTTTAAAAATTATGCTTTTAAGTATAGACTTCACAATTGACTTTCTATTCATGTACATTGTTCATAAATTCTCAAGAAATAGTTTTTTTCGTAATTAGTAGATCAACTGAGGCAATGGAATTCCCAATTTCACCTTTCGCCCTCATTTGATCAGCTTATTATTTCGCACAACAAAACAAAAATTGATTTGTAATATGATTAGGCCGTATCAAATAAAGAATCTGACAATCTCAGCAATATATAAAAACAAAATCTCGTTGTGTACACAATGTATCAGTCGCTATTCCAAGTCTTCGAAATATTTGTAGCAAGATAATTAAAAGTAATGGCGCACATTAAACGAACTTTAACCTCGTTGCTAAATGTGTTTTTAATGATCACTAAATAAGAATTATATTACATGTAACTAATATTTTTCGCAGATAATGTTGTTTTTATTTTAACGAGAGCAAAATGCAGTTATTTTCACTAACGAACATTACATGTGCAATCGTGATAAATTCGCGTCGTGTAAAATTTCAACTATGTATTATATGAGAGAATGTGGCTGATGGTTGCAACAAAAGCTCTATTATACTCGATTTTCATGTAAATAGAGATGTTAGAAATCTACCAAAACTTAGAAACACAAACTTCAGTTTGTGATTACTTTATACCAATAATGAGCAAAGTTTAAAATTAAACTGCTAGGTCCCTTTCACTAAACGTTGCCGCATCCTTGATTGTCTGTGATTGACAAATGCTCAAGGGATTGAGTAGTTATAACTCTATATCAAAACTTAGATATCTTAAGTGGGTCACACTAAATATAAACCGGAATTTATCTGTAAGATAATCATAATTTAAATTTAATTAACTTGAAAGGTTAGAAATCAACAATATTTATGCATGTTTTTACTTTTCGAAGGAAAGTTTCTTTTTTTTTTGCTGGTTTTTTTGAGGTTTCAAGTCATTTTGAATCGAATGAGACGAAATTTGAAAAAAGTATGTTGTGTATGTGTGCATGTTGAACGGACTTTTTTTGAAATTTGATGGAAGTTTTCTCAAGAAACGGCTACATTGATTTCG